GAGAATGGCTTGTAAGTTCCAAACGTAGCCTAGGCTCCTTACCTATATCAATCGCTGAAATTACAGCAATCAAGACATGTTTGGAGTTATGCAAACAAAGAGGTCTCTAAGCTCGTGACCTTTTCAAACTCATTGGAAGCTTTGAATCTTCTATCTCGTGATTATGGATCAGATCATCTGTTCAGAGACGTGATTATGGATACAAGAGATCTCATCTATAGAGATTGGGAGATTGAAATACATCATGCTCACAAAGACAGCATCAAATGTGCGGACTTTTTGGCAAAATCAGTCCATGATTCAAGCACTAATACCCAACTCATTCCTGTTGTTCCTTTTGAATGCACTGGCTTTTTGATAGAAGACTACACTACTTCTATGTATCCCCATTTCCCCTCAAGCTTAGGCTTGCCTTTGTAATTCAAAAAAAAAAAAAGGCTTTTCAATGAAAGTACAAGTTTAAAAAGAAATCCAATTTCAAATTAGATTATTAGAGAAAAGATCTCCCTTAAACTTGTAAGCCTCACTCAACTCATGATAATCTCAAGTTTTTTGTTGAATGAGGTTGAGAGATAAAGTCACTGCTAGTTGTCATTTCCCGCCATGGGACCGACGTAAGAAATTCCTATGTGAAGTCAGTTAGGGGAGAAGAATTCCGGTGTCACGTCCAGAAATAAATGAACCATTGCGAGCTGAAAGCAAATAAACCATCAATGTTCAGAAACACATAAGGAGGCAATACTATTACTAACCACCAAGTCAAAAACAGGGAGAAGATTAGATGGTTCGTTTGGTCATTTCCACTCTGAAAAAGAAAATTGTACGAGATAAATAAAAATATACAAAGAAAATTGAGGTTAGTTAAATCACGTAAAAACATGTCAACTGTCAATGATTACCTTCCCATACTTGGTCGGACATGTTAGATTGTCCTAAATATAGGATATCTATCCACCTTGTCGTCTTCAATTAATATTTTTTAATATTATTTTTATCAATTTTACTTTTTTTTTTCCTCATTGTCTTTCTCACATTTTTAATGTCCTCAATAAAAGAGAGATATTTAAAAGAAAGTGATGCACAAATTTTTTTCATAATACTGTTTTTTAATTCATGAATTAATTAATCAGGTCTAATATTTGATTTAATTATTGTTCCATCCAATGACATGATCATTACAAGTTAAGACAAGACAAGATAATGAAAAGAGAGTGTCTTCACTTTCCTTCTCTCCATTTTCCTCTCATCATCTTTAGATCAAAATTTTTCAATGGTTTAAATTTAATTTTTGATAACATTATTACTTTGAGTTTATATAAGCTATATAAATAAAATATTATAGTTTATAATTATTCCTATTAAAATTTAATAGTTTAAATTTATTTATATCTTTATATAAATTAAAACAATAATTTTATTAAAAAATTAAATTTAAACTATTAAAATTTTAATCTAAAAATAATAGGAGAGAAATTAAATAAAATGGAGGGAAGGAAAGTGAGGACAACCTTTAATCCTGAGACAATAGGGTCAAGGTAATAAATATAAAATTTGAATTTAAATTCCAAACTGAATCATTGTTCGAAACTTAGGACAACCTGTCTTCATGGTTGGCCATTCAAAGTCATCCACGTATCAAACTAGAGAATATAATAAAGTCTCATGTTTTTATTCTTTTTTTTTTTTAACCAACATCATGTTTTTATTCTTTGAATGTGATCAATTTAAATCAAGTCTCACGTTTAATTCTCGTTATAATAAAAATGTTAGTCCCCAACTTTATTTCAATAATCAATTAATTAATTTGTTAAGGTTTATTTTGTATCAATTTGCTTCCTTTTTTTTTTTAGTGATGTATCGATTTGAAAGTTGGGGATATGAATGCGGTAATTTTCTTGAAAAAAAAAAATCCATATTTGAGGACTAGATTACTTAAAAATTGAGTGAAATACATCAACATTCCCCTATTATATTTTAATCATAGAGACTTTCTTTCTATTTTTAAAATTCATATAAATTTTTTTTGAAATTAAAATTTACATAACACATACCTCTCTATTTTAAAGATTCCCTTTCCATCCCTTTAATCATTAATTAACTGTTAAATAACATATTTTTAACTAAAATACCCTTTGAAAGCAGTAATATTAAATATAATAAACTTATTTATAGTATATACATTTAAGAGTCATTTATATAAAATTTTCTATATAGTAATTTCTAAAATTTTAAATCTATAAGTTGACAAAAATAATATTTCAAACATATATGAATAAATATTTAATGAATTGGAAATTTTATTGCAAAAAAAATTATAAATTTAATATAAGGATATATAAATTGATAATATAATTTATATTTATTGATTTAATATTTTCTAAAATGTTTATGTAAGTATAACCATAATATTCTTTAAAACAGTGGAAAGAGGGAAGACATTAGGTTATAAAGGAAATTAATCATTTTAAATTTTTGTCATAGATTTTAATTAATATAATAAATAATTTAGAATTTTTAACATAATATTTTGATAGTGTCAAAAAATGGAGTAAAGTGTAGGTTTTAGAAACAGGTGGTCATTATAATTTTAACAAATTTGAAGGGAAATCATTATACTTCACTCGTAAAAATTTATCTGATTTGAGAGCTATTTTATTTTCATTTGGTTACATATTCATATCAAATTATTAATATACTTTATTTATTAGATTAATTTAAATGTAATTTTGTGTTTTAAAATTTAAATGACTAATTTGATAAAAAAAATTAGTAAACAAATCAGTAATTGACATAAATTTGAGAGATTAAAAGTTTTATTATCCTTCAACATTTTTAAATAAAATTGTACATTTGATCATCTAACTTACTCCCTTTGTTTAAAAATGTAAGGCATTTTTAACCGAATCTTACCTCCCAATAAAGTAATTACTTATTTTTAAATTAACTTTATCTTTTTTTATTTATCCCTATTAAACATACTATAATAAATATAAAGTCACTATCAATAAGAGTACTTTTAAAAAAAAGATAATGATTACACTTGAAAGATTAAAAATGTCTTACATTTTTTAACATCTAACTCTTCAAAAAATACTTTATATTTTTAAAGAAGAGAGCAATAACTTTACATGATATTTCAACTATTTAACTCTAATTCCATTAATTTAATTTTATTAAAAGAAAATACTGAAATTGTAATTTTAAAAGCTGACAAAAACTTTGCAAATTATTTTTTTAGTTTTGTTTCAATCATTGTTATTTTTGTAAATTAAATTTAATGTCAGCATTTAAAAAATGATTTGTTTGCATTTAAAATTACAATATCAATATTTTTTTTTTTTGTTAAGAACTAATGGCGTTAAGGCTACCAGATTGGAAATAAAGTTTATAAAATTAAAAATTTATATAAAATTAAAGGATTAGACTAAGATGTGCAATTTTTTATTTTTAAAATTAAATAATTAATCTTAAAAGTATTATGTACATATATGTGTGTGTGTTAAAATCTTAAAAATATGTGTGACAAAGGGTGACTTTAACTAAAATTTACTATAACTTCAAAAAGTAATTCCTTGATGAAAAAATTAAAAGGACTTTGAATTAGGTTGACCAAAATTTTAAGGATAAAAAAACTATGTTTTTTTAAAAAGAAAAGATGAGTAAAAAAAACTCAAATTTTCATTAACCAAAATTAATTTGATTTAAATAAAAATTAAAATATTTATAAAACAACATCAAGAGAAAAAAAAGAATGAATGAATTTTAGTCAATTATAAGATATTTGAATTTTAATTCACCATGTTATGAAGAATTAATTTCTTCCATAACTCTCATTAATACTTAACATCCTTTTTTAATCAATTGAAAATAATTGAATAATTTTAAATTTAACATTTAAATATGATTAAAAAATTAAAAAAACTAATTCTCTTTTTAATTTTTATTACTTTGCTCTCTCCTCTCTTTTTTTGGTTAAAAAATAGAAAAAATATTGCTAGTAAATCTCTCCTTAAAAGAGAAATTTTTAGGTAAAATCAATACACTACATCATTCATGGTTTATCCAGTAAAATTGTAGCATTCAATCAAAAAAAATCTTAAGTTTTATTATTTTTAATAAATTTATTTTTATAGTAAAATATATATTTAATTTCTTATTTTTTTTTTCTATTATCATTAATATCATAATTAATTTATATTTAATATCATTCAAATGTTTTATTTTTATTAGATGTATACTTAATTTATCTAAAACTTTTCTCTTTTTTAAAGTTCAAATTGTGTCGGAAGACCAAAAGATCATGGTGCAAATGGACAAGCTTAGGATTTTATAGGTATCTACTTGCACTCCAAATTTATACTCTAATTCTTTAGTCGAACAACACAATTTCAATTCCAAGGGATTTATTAGCAACGTTTTTCCAAAAAAAAAAAAAACATCATTTATGAGTAAACCCAATCAAATGAGAATAGATGCAAATCCAAGCCGTGCCGCTAGTGCCAGTGCTAGGCCGCTAGCTTTCCGTCAAGGCGTCAACCTCGTGTTTGTTACGTAACTCATGCCAACTTTCAGGAACATGGAAAACCATATTTTAAAAATAATTTTGTTTTATTTTATAAATACAACACAATATTATAAAATACTGTAATTACAATAAAATTGATGTTTACGGAATTATACATCATCCGACAAATTCAAATTTCTCAATCAATTAAAAAAAATCTGCTAGAAATAATTTTATTTACAATTACAATGTTTGGATTTATAATTTTATTTAAGACATTTTAAGCTGTTTATCAATATAATTGTTGGTAAAATTAATAATTATATTTTTAAAAATATAAAATAATACTTTGAATTTTTTTAAAAAAAATATTTAAATGTTATTAGTACTACTACTTTTCTATAAATATTATTTTTCCCAATATGCCCCTCAAAGAAAAGCCCCTTTAATTTAATTCTACACTACGCTGCATCTACTGATCTATCCATCCGCCACTTTTCTGTCTCTGTCTCTCTCTGCCTTTCCCTTCTCAGTACCATCTTCGTTCTCATTCATTTCCTCCACCTCTGGCTTCCTCATGCAACTCTTGCCCTTTCTTTCTCCCTCTCCTTTCTCGTGACACTCTTATCTCCAAACTTATAGTCTGCCATTAATGCTGATATTCCATACCTGAACTACCCTCCTTCCTTTCATCCCCATCTCGTTTCCACATGATTTCTCATCTTGCTGCTTGCAACGCCGCCACCAGCAGCAGCATCTGTCCAATTCTCACCGTCTTCAACCACCATGCGATCCCCTCAGGCCCTCCGTAACGGCGGCGACAACCGCTCTCCCACCCCCGGTTTTCACTCCACTGTGGCCGAACGCAAACTGCGTCGTTTCAACTCTCTTTTACTCGTCTTCCGCCTCACCTCCTTCTCCTTCTCCTTTGCCTCTTTCGTCTTCATGTTCACCAACACTCGCGGCTCCGATTCTCCTCACTGGTACGACTTCGACACCTTCAGGTACACCTTCGCTACTTCTTCCGCTTCCAAAAATCAAAATTAAGCAATGTCTACTAATCTAATCTAATCCTGATTCGCAACCGTATCTTAGCAAGCTAATTTTCCACTTCAATTATCAGTATTGTTCGGCTTTGATCCCAAAAATTAGTGAGATTGTGATTGTAATTTCTTCTGCCATGATTAACTCGAATAGTCACTAATTCTGTGAATGAAACTACAAAATCTGCAGCAACGAAGACCTTAGAAATGCCGAGACTAATGAAATTATTTGAAAAAACTGACAGATTCGTGCTCGCTGCGAATGCAATAGTGGCAGTGTACTCCGTGTTCGAAATGGGAGCGTCGGTGTGGGAAATCTCCAGAGGAGTTACGATCTTCCCCGAAGTCCTTCAGGTCTGGTTCGACTTCGGACATGACCAGGTCACAAATTTCAATCCTTTCCTTTCCAATTATAACTCCTCGCCCGCGCGCGCGGGGGGTTAAACCTTGTTTGTTTGTTCTCCATTTTCTTCACTGAGAATGGTGGTGCTGGGGGTGGGGGTGCTGATTCTGTGCGTGCAGGTGTTTACGTACCTGTTGCTCGCGGCCAGCGCGGCGGGGACGTCAATGGCCAGGACGCTGAGAGAGACTGACACGTGTACGGCCAGCAACGCGTTCTGTGTGCAATCAGACATAGCTATAGCCTTGGGATACGCGGCTTTTATGTTCTTAGGGTTCACGTCCTTGCTGTCTGGCTTCCGGGTCGTCTGTTTTATTATCAACGGTTCGCGATTTCATATCTGATTTTCCTGCTTCTTAATCCTCCGAAACGGCGTCGTTCCAAGGAGCGAGCGAGAGGTATGAATTTTTGGGTGGGTCCAACCCCATGCTTTTACTGTACGCTGTGATTTACTGAGATGAAAGCGATAGTTAGCTTTGGGCAATTAAATCGCAAGTTACGCTATTTCAAGACCACAGTCACAGTTCTCGCATTGTTAAAGCACACCCCACTTCCTAGTGACTTTTGCCATACATTTCGACCTTCATCTTTATTTTCCTGTTACATTCACACTATTATCATTATTATTATTTGTAATTTGCTTTAACGATTAATAATGAAGTTTTCATAGCATTTGTGTACAGAATATAGCTAGGAAAAGTATACTTATGGCTCTCACATTGCGAGTGAAAAAATACTTCTAGCGTCTTACAAAAAAAAATAATAATAATAATTTTTCATACTTAATGATATTACTTGTATGGGCGACCCCGACAATCAATTTGGCACATTTGTTCGCCTCTAGAAACGTATAAATCGTCTTGATATTTCAATCTTCGATCAAGAAGTGTCTAATTTCTTCCATCAGACTTCGTATTTGATGCCTAGTAACATTACCCTATTGATTTTTATACTGCTTAATCACAAGCTACAAGAACTATACAAAGGCATTGTTCTTAGCATGTCCTGATCCTTTAAGAATACCACTCATCTCCACTACAATACAAGGTGTGCAGCCAAGTCTCTTAATGAAGAATCAAACGCAATCACCTTGTAAAACTGTGATCGGTTAACCTTCCACTAGCAGCCTCCCCAACCTGATTGATGGATCCGTCAACGTCCAAATGAATCATACCTCCGTCTAGTGACCAATTTCTCTGTGATGTAGACCAATTTTGCATCCCAACTCCCAATGTCCTTGACACCTAGCGCACGGTTGTTGTTGTTGTTGTTGTTGGTGTTCTTTTTTTTTTAATCCTCAGGGAACGACATGCATTTTCTGGGCTTTGTCCAAAAAGGCAAATTCTTGCACAAACTAATCAATTCATGAAACTCACTATAAGGATGATGAGTTTCTTGTCCTTGATTTTTCCTTGAAGGGAATAGATACTCTCAGATGCTGGCATTTGTAAGCGGCTACTAAATCTCTTGAGAACCATTTGGTAGCCGGGAAGGATGAGAATGGAATATATTAAAGAAATAAAAATAAAAATAAACTAAATTATCCTTCTTTTTATGATAAACATAACAAAACCCAATACTACATATTATAAATGTGAAATCATCACCCCCTCTACAAATCTTATGAATCATGACTCCTAACTTCAAACTAAATTACCCTTCCTCTCTTATGAACATGGTTGAACAATCTCCCCTACACATGTTAATCATTTTTATTTTTGTCCTTATTTTTTTAATTAATTCCATTCTCATCCTTTCTGACAACCAAATGGCCTTTAATTTTTGTACTGACTTAGGCTATAACCTGTCTTACCAAAATGAATTATCATTTGGTGAATATTATCATCCTAAACCAATATAGATGAGTCACGGGGATCTGTTCGTAAATGAGCTGAACATAAACTATCATCGAGTGATTTTGACCTTTTGGATTAGACAGAAAACTCACCCAATTGCCCATTCTCCGACCAAGATATGACTGCTACCTAATGCTTTTAATTTTTATACAGATCAAAAGGCCATATAAGACACAAAGTGAAGGGGTAGAGGCATTTCATATCATGGTCCCTATTTACAATTTTAATCAGGACGACCATCTTAATTATTCTGTAGAACACTATTCACTAAATCAGCGCCTGTTATAATGCCTCAAATGATAAAGTAAAATAGCATGCCAGCCAATCACAATCAATTTGCATAAATATTGAACGTTGGACACAATAATGAAAGAGATAATGTGCCTAATGCAGACAAATTTTCAAATATACTCAATTAAAAAAACAGATCAATCCAATTTATCATAAAAATATGCATGTTTCAAGTAAATCTTGCTAAAAACTTACTTATAACATAGTTATACGTTCTTTCATAATTAATTAATCCTATCAATTCAAGCTTTTCTTTCTAATAGACAAAAATAGGTTTATTTCATCTTTGGGACGCAAGGAAAATATAAAATTATAACATCAAAAATAAGGGCCAATTCCATAATTATATCTATTTCCATTTACCGCCTGATAAAGAGTAAAACAGAAGTCCAGAACAAATGCCTCGAGCAAGTTATATGACAAAGCATATGTTTTCATGCATAATGGCAAATGATACCTCTTAGCTAAACTACTACTTTCTCAAAGAAGACACAGAGAACAAGTTTAAATAATAAAATGGCATAATTTTATAATTAAAAATTAAAAGCAAACTAGATTTTCAGATAAGTGCGGGCCAACATTAAATAGTTCAAATTCAACAGCTAAATACAGCCCAAAGAGGGGAAGAAATAAAATGTTCATCAAGACGTTTTCTACCAGTAACAGTAACAAACTTGGTGCCACGTGAAGGGATATCTGACAAATTCCATAACTTTTCCACGAAAAAGTTGTATGTGTAGCTGCAGCCAGGAATAAACTGAAATCACTGATCAATAAATAAATAAAATATCAAAATAGAATCCAAGCATATAAATATATTGAACGCGTCACGTTTTCATCAGAGAGAACTAAAACAAAAAACAAAAAATGAAAACATGCACCTGTACAGAAGGGAACGCCCGGGCCATGTTGCTACTTATCGTTGTATTATATTCTATCCTGACATTTCCACAGGATAACATTATCATACTTTTCAAATCAGTATTATGTCATCTAAACTTAAAACGCATCTCATTCCAAGAAAAAAAATAAATAAACCAAATAAGTAAAAAGAAAACAGAGAAAAAACATAGTGACATTGTTCATTATCATCTTTATATCAAATCATAATTATAGTTCAAAGGTTTTTATGACAGTCTTGAATTCAGCTAATAAAAATTAAAAAAAGAAATCAAAATAAGTGAAAACAAAAGGAGGTTTTACTACAGAGACAACAGGCAAGCAAATCAAGCAAGCTAGAAAATAGGCAGTGTATAATGGCAAGCTCTTTACATCCTTGCTTGTCTTCAGCTGATTCGCCACCAAGCTTCGAATCCCAACTTTTAATTTCAAGCCTAAATGGATCTACATCATGGAATACTATTCATTCTCAATGAAATTTCCATTTTCTGAAGAAAATGAACCATAATCATACTAGCCTAGCAGCCATTTTGATATGTCTATTTCTTAAGGCGACTCCATCAGAGGATTCTCTGTTTAACCCGGTCGAGCATGGTCCAAATCAAGATCTACGTTTCCAAGAAGAGCTGCTTCATAACTATATCTCTTAATTTCCCAAACTCATCGATACAACTAAAAACTGCTAAACCATACGCTAGGTCGGCTAATGAAGCACAATCAAGAGCTCTAATTCAATTCCTACATCCATTTCAACTTCACCTTTCAGTCCTATTCAGAATTAAATTGTCCGCTTTTCCTTGTCAGCCAAAGTTTTACTATAGACCCTACTGGAAGGGCAAACCCTACAGGAATAATATTCTTTTATTTTTTATTTTTTTCACCAACAGGAATAATATTCTTTCTCAATGAAATTTCCATTTTCAACAAAGAAAATAAAGCATAAAGCTACATAAGCAGCTTACCAGAACCAAAGTCACTGCTCAAGCTCAATTTCAACAACTTTGATGAGTTCCAAGGAGATCATGGATTGACAGGGTCCTGAATGAATTTCACAGAAACACATAGCATAAACTTTGTCCCAAACTTAGCAAATGCCAATCAAGTAATCCTAGAAAAGGAAATACCATAACAATGTTAACAGAGTCAGAATGAAAACTTCTCTCCAACCAAATTTGAATTGATTATGCATACCATTCACACCATCAATATCCCCAAAGCCAGTGAATGTACTCAAAATACCCAAACAATAAAAACCTAGAGACAGAACATGAAGTTCAGTATTAGGCGTTTCTCCAATCTTAATTGTGTTTAAATGTGCTTCACTTTAGCTCATTGCATTTTCCAATCAACTACTAAAACAAATCCAATCATGCACTCAATACTGAAACAACAATCTCAATACTATTCAACAAAACACTAAGTCATATATTTTTCAATAATAATCACTTAACATGTGTGAAAAAAGCATAACAGCCAGTGCATATTTATCAGATGTCATCCATGAACCATTAAGATAAATCAATATAGCCGATAGGAAGTATACCTAACAAGAAGAATGAAAGAAAGTAAGGCTAAACGTTGAACCTCGTCAAAATTTGTCAGATGCTTGATAGTGCAGCACAGCGTAGCACACATCAAATTGAAGAGATAATAGAAAATGATAACAAGTGTTAAATAAACATCTGCAGAAGAGTTATATGTTTAGATTGAGAGCAAATGAATGGTCGATCATTAATTTGGCTTTGGCCAAAAAAAGAAAAAAAATTATTAATTTGGCATTTGAAGACCAAAAACAACGCATTTAGTTACACATACAAACTATTGCACGCACATTAAAAATAAATTAAATTAAATAATCACCAAGGAAGCGTTACCCTGCAATGTACACAATATGCAAGAGTGAAAATTTGAGAACGGTACAAGATTATTCATTTTGGTTCTTGCTCACGAGTTTAATATAAAAAACTTCCCAATCAGCAGTTGACAAGTGAAAATTTACAACTTCAAATTTCAATACTGGAATGTGGAGGCAGCATAGAAAACACCATAGTTGCATCAGGTAAACTTTCAGAGTCAAAAGGGGTAAATGGCATTTTCCAAGCGGTCATCATATAGCAATAAATTATATTGGAGTCCCAATTACGAACAAGTATCAAACAAAAACATATTTCTCTTTTTTCTTTGAATTGATTGCCATGTTTCATAGTTTCAATGCCATAGAATAAAACAGACCAGAAAAGATAAAAAGGAAAGCAAGTATCCTTAAAATCAGACGAGCAAATTAGGAGAAAATTGGAATTCCAAATTTGATGTATCAAACTTTTGGAACAAAGTAAATGACGAAATTGGAGAAAAAAATGTAATGCGATCGCAGTGGGATTCGAACCCACGACCTTTAGATCCGGAGTCTAACGCGATATCCACTCCGCTATGCGATCACTTGTTGTAAAGAAGATTAAATTACGTAAAGCATTGAAACCAAAGCCGTATCCATTCTACGGCCAAAACCAACTTTCAGAACAAAACCGAAAAGAAACTCCATGAAATACTTTTTTTCCAGAAAACTACCGATGGGATTACTGTCATTAACGTATGATTAAAAAAAAAAAATCTGACCTATAAGAGACACTTGGCAGAGATAGATCATAATGAAATGGTGCAAGAAAAAAATCTATGATGATCTTATAAGAAAACCTGCCGTGTGAGAGTACAGTGAAGGAGCTCGTACCTTCAGCAATCACATGAAACGGGAAAAGGCCAAGGCAAAGACACTGACTGCTTGCCAGCGACGAGAGATCTCCGAGACGAAATGGTTGTCTTCGAGGAGTTCCTTTGTGGTACGCCGTGGATCTGTGTTCGACATTCTGATTCTAAAATGTAAAACCTTTTTCTCGCCCTTTTCGGCTCTTCATCAGGCCTTATTGGTGGGTACAAAGTGGCCTTGTCACCGAAATTGTGGTCTGTGGGGCGGAGATTAATGGGCCTTGAATGGATTTTTAGAATATCCAAATTGTATTGAATTTTTATGACTGATATACGAAGCTTAAGACCAAAAGGAGTTGGTCCAAGTAATCTCGAGTCTGTTTAAGTAAAGTCTTGAGTTTGAGTTTTATGTGTGTAAAAAAACTCTTGTTCGAAGACTCACCCACCATACTTAGGTACGCGACACGAGTTGAATACAGATTAGTTAAGGGGAAGCTCTGAATACCGGATAGGCAATCAAAAGTGTATATATATATAAAGCTTAAGTAAGGTTCAAATATGAAAAAATGGCAAATAAATCCCAGCTAATTAGATAAATGATCTCAAATTGGAATAATTCTTTTAAAGTGTCTAGGATTTATGTGACATTAAATTTTTATGAAAGTATCATAATGTCCCCAAATGTAGATGACAATTTCAAAGTAGCAAATTATTACTTTTATTAAACGAGTAACTAAAATAGGGTAAGAAATTATTACTTCCACTTCGTCACTTATGAAATAAAATTGAGAAATTAAAATAGTCATCCCTTACATTATTTTAATCACTCGCTTAATGAAAGTAGTCATTTACTACTTTGAATTTGTCATCTACCTTTAGAATTTAACACTTATGAATTGAAATCAAAAAATAAGAATAGTTATTTCCTACATTATTTTAATCACTGACTTAATGAAAGTAGTCATTTACTTTTAGAGGCATTATGTTCATTTCAAGAAAAATTGTAATGTGAGATAAATTTTTAGAGACTTTAAAAGAATTACTCCATCTTGTAGTTATCCTTTGTGTCCATTTGAATGAGATTTTTTTGTCAGCCACTCTTCCTATATTGTATTCTAAAGAAAATGTTAATTGAGAAAATCATCAAGTGTAACTTTGGTTTGGATGGAAATAAAAGTGAAAATAAAAGGATAAAAAGACAAAATTAAAAAGAGAAATTTTCAAAAATAGTAATTTTTATTTTTTTTATTCTTTTTTCATCTTTATTCTTCTTTTCATCCAAAGCCCAGGGTAAATGATATTAAGAATCAAGAAGGTTTTTATGATACGTTCACGTTCCTAATAAGACTAATCTTACTCGAGTGACAACTCACCTCTATTCTTTTATTGACCGAGGCAAGTTCTGACACGAATGTATCACTGACCACTTGCGCCACTAGCTAATAAAAACCAGGCTAATGCTGTTTGGAGCCTATTCTCGATCTAGAATGCGTTAGATTTTGAGATTTTAAAATCATAGAAGTTTATATTTATAATTTCTTAGATATTTTTTTCACAGATGATCACTTTATTGAATTATCTAATTAAAAGAAACATAATACAAAAAGGCAAATTCATATCAATGCTAGTGAATAATTTCTGAAAGTAAAAAAAAAAAAAGATTTTTTTCTTTAAAGAGTATCATAGAGCTAGTTAATGTGGAAAAACATGGAAGCTTCTAACCCAAGTGTTTCTTAAAAGGCCAATACTCTCAATGTCAATGGCCTACTTATGTTTGCAATTCACCTCAAAAAGAACATTTCTTATAGTTAGGAACTAACCAAATAGTTGAAGGCTTGCAACTTGCGTCAACAAATTAAATAGATATTAATAGTTTAAATAACCGGCAAAAAAAATATTAAAACAAGGAGATATTCCAATAGTAATAAAAATATTTCATTAAAATAAATGATAATACTACAAAATCCAAAAAGAAAATAAATACATACATTGATGATATTATGCTCTACTCTCTCGTAATGCCACAATGTGTGTTTCAAGGGAGCTTCTTTTACTGCATTGTTGTTCTCTTTTTCAACTTCTTCATACAATACATACAGAAGAAATGATGATACACGCAACCTCCTTCGCATCATTTGAAGCGGGTCCGGGAAAAGAACCATTCTGATATGCCTCGAGGAAGGGAAAATAGATATGTTGACAGTGTTTGCTGCATCACTTCCAGTTCCAACAATGCCAACGGCATCAACTAAATCTTCAACCCTCCTGGCACGTTTCGATAAGGTAAATCCATTACCGTAATTAGGATTATCGTGTGACGATGAACAGAGCGATAATAAAAATAACAACAATGCCGCCAAAATTTTGAAGATATTGTCAAGACTGGACTCAGATGAAAATAAAAGCTTGGTGAGGGGGCGAAGGAGAAGAAGCATGCTCTCATTAGTAGTGACAGTGACCACAGAATCAACCCCCATAGAAGGAGGAAGATTTAGCTTGAGAGATGAGGGAGGGGAAGTAGTGAAATCCATCTGAATAAAACATGCACGCGGAGTTAACATAGGCGATGCGAGAAGTAGAAAGATCATGGCATTGGTGAATAGCTTCATCATCGAAGGAACAATGCTGGAGGCAGAGACTAACGGCAAGGAGATCATCGAACTTGGAGCTGGTGCGGCCCATCACCAAGAAACCCCAAAAAAAAAATCAAAGAAAAAGGGGTACGGGAAGAAGGAGAAGAAAAACAGAAAGCACGGCTGGGATGGTGATTGGAAGAAGAAATTAGAGTAGGTTTTTAGCCTTCAGGATTTTGTTAGATCATGAACCGACCAATGAGAAGATTTCCAGCAATAGAGACGATCACATGAGTTCCCTATCAGAGTAAAGAGAGAATAAAAACAATCTAGTGCGGATCGTTATATGACTGATGAAGGAAGAAGAAAGGACCGAAAGAAAATGATGAAAGTAGGAACTGAACTGATTGTCGAACACCAGAAGGTCGACAGATCGAACACGCTTAGGAAGTATTTTATCAAACTCCTGAAATCAGCGTCGGTCCGAGAGAAAATCCGATCAACCTTTACCTTTAAACGCCACGAAAACTTGCTAGGATCAATGTTCCTGAGGAAGTCGAAATCCTCTGCCACAGATTGTACAGGCGCCAAGGTAGCCATCGTTCAGGCGAACCAGACGAGGCCAGGCAGTTATGCTCGCGGCTTTCAGGTGGAAGAAACCCGAGAGGTCAAGGGCTGCTTTTCTGGACAAAAAATACTGGGTTGGTCAACTTATAACTGATTTAATTATAACTTAAAAATTAATAAAATTGAACTTAGCTCACAAGACTAACAAATTGACCTTAATAATTTAATATTTTGTTAATTTTTTTATATAAAAATTAATAATTTATTTTATTTTGATAAACTTACTTGTGATAATAAAAATATTTACAACCATAAAAAAATTTATAACAATATCTAATAATAATAAAAAAATTATTTTAATTACAATTTAAATTATTTAAATTTATAATTTTAATAACAGCAACAACAATATTAAATAAACTTTAGCAATATATCTAACATACATCACAATAACAATTTAACAATAAATTAAATTAAAATTATAATAAATAGAAGGACAAATTATAAATGAAAGAAATATTTAAAATCAAACTTTAAATTATTTAAATGTGTTAAAAATAATTAAATTTATATTAAAATAATATATTAGACCAAATAGGTGATGTGAGAGTTTGGTTTTTTGTCTACTCTAACCTTGAAGTTAGTGGGAGTGAAGTTTTTTCACTTTTTTTTCCATTTTTTTAATCTCCACTGTTTAAATTATTTTATTAAATAATTTTTTTAAATAATAAAATTAATGAATGATAGAGATTGAAAAAGTAGAGAAAATGGTTGAAAAACAAAAATGGAGAAACCCTCCCCCATAAGTTAGTCTAGCATTTTTTTTTTTGGATCAATTTTTTTACTAAATTGGATCGAATTGAACTTATTGGGAATGAACAGAACATCGAACTTCTGCACAGCCCTGCAAAATACGACGGTCGTTGAGATGCCGGTTCCAATTTGGGAGCGGTTTAATTAATTCATCAATTGAAAAGTCAACTATTCAGGTTATCAACATGTACGATATAATTCATTGGGACGGCTTTGAATGAGAAATCGAGGAAATGAAATGCAACGTCACTGGTACATCAGCAATGTCATCATCAATCATCAATATATCAATATATTCTTTCTCTTTAAAAATATAAAATATTTTTAATTAATTTTTACTTTTTAATAAAATAATTATTTATTTTTAAATTAAATTTATTTTTTTATTTATTTTTATTAAACATCTTACAATAAATATAAAATTATTTATTAATATAAATATTTTAAAAAATATTTTATATTTTTTAATATATAATTTATTTATATTTTTTAATAAAAAAGTATTTAATAAATGTGTTTTAGCAATCTTTTATTGTGAACAGAAATTTTGAATATTTTTGTCATTTCACTATCCATTTATTGGGTTCCTATTTCCTACACAATTGAAGCTGTATCACTCAGGGTCATTTTCGGAATTACAATTTTCAGCCATCTAATCTTTTTTCCCCAAGACAGAATCAATTTTAGTAATCATAGAAAAAATACAAAAAATAAGAAAAACACTTAAAAAAAACACACACAAGCTGACACACGTAAAAAAACACAAACACAGAAAAACAAAGGCAATAATTAGCAACAGAACTACTCAACATTAATAGAATTAATAATATAGGTCGAACTACAACCCACAGGCTAGCACATAACAAATTGGGGGTTCAACAGGGTAGATTAATATAACCTATGTCTTATGCGGGTTATATTTGTATCAACCAGCCAACCCACAGTGGGACCAATAATATATATATATATATATATAAATTATAAATTCATCATCATTTTAAAAGCTTTATCTATCATTAATTATTAGCATCACATAACTAAACATGAAAATATAATTAACATGCAAAAGTATAGAAAGTAAAATTAGATTTGACATTAATTTAAGTAAAAATTAGCTGGTTAATCTTTTTTTTTTTTTGCTAGCTAATAAATTTTGAGTTCATTGAAGTAAAATGTAATAACAAAGATAATACAAAAAAAAAGTTAGAATTTATTTACAACTTGATAATATAGTAATAATTCAAGAGCTGTTGAAGAGGATTTGAAAGTTAATATATGGATTGTTTTAAATAACTCTAAAATGATTCATATACCACTTGGGATGGCACTACTTCAAATGGCAGCACAACTGCACAATAATAGGGTTTGAACCCCATGTAACCTTTTCAAAAAAAATAGATGGTTGTATCTTTTATGCCTGCTTGAAAATATTTTACTCAAATTAAATTGTAAAAAATCTTTAGTTAGGTGCATGCTACACCAATGCATTTGATTGGCCATGGATTTATAGTTATCTCAATTAATTAAATATAACAAGTAATAATAATAATAGATAATAAGGACATAATATTAATTATTTTAATAATTTGAATAATGGCAATGATTTGAGAATTGAGAGAATGATCTTGCAATCTCTATCATTTTTTTAAAAAAAATAACAGGGCCAACCAACCAACTCGCGTGTTAACTTGCTGCTGGTTCAAGCTATGCAAGATGGACTAAAACCACTCTACATACAAATAAATTTATTTTTTCAACCCAACTCGTATTTTTTAAAAAGTTGAACCCGCACATTACCACCTCTAGCCACTCAAAAGGTCCATCATCTTAACTCTATAAGTTGCAAAGTGATTCGCAACACAATTACCTTGGCTAGCAACCAAAGCAAACACAATATTATTTGCTGAAATTTTAAGGATTCGTTTGGTATGATGAAAATGAGTAGGATGGATATGGAAATAGAATTAGAATTGGGAAAAATGTTTGTTTGGTTTAGTGGAATTAGAAACTTTTCCAATTCCAATTTCACCAAAACTGGTGAAAAGCATTTCCATGATAAAAACTAAGTTTTGCAGTTTCATGATGCATTTTTTATTTTTTACCATCTTTGTTGATCTTCTCCCTTCTTTATATTTGCCCGCTCTTGTCAAACCCTTTTGATGATTGACTTGCTAGATTCGATGATGGTGATGGCAACAACCTATTCTCCATCTCCTTCATCGACGGCAGTGGTGATGATGATCTCCTTCATCAACAGAGACGGCAAAAACCAAATCTGGAGAGAGAATATAGCTAACACTTTTTCTTCATCCTCCTCTTTTGTATTCTCCATCAGTCTCCCTCTTCGATCTCATTGCCTGTATATTTATTATATTTGCATCTTTCTTCATTCTTTTATAGAGATTAGCTACCTATTTTGAGCTAAGGATGATGAGGAAGCAGGTTCACAGGTTGGGTTTGTTTCAATAGGTTTGAGTTCATCGTTTAAATTTGGCTTGGACGAATGCCTCTTCATCAATTTGTTCCAAATTTGGGTTCTAATTTGACAATGATATTCTCCATCTTCTTCCCAAAATTTGGGTTTGATTGCCCTCTGCAAATTTTGCATCTTCTTTCATATCCCTAAGCTTGAGTGGTCATTGATTTTTCTATATTGCTTCTAGTTGATTATTTTGGATTGTCGTCATTGAATGGATGAAGATTTGGTAGGCAGTTATTCAGGCAGATGGTCGAGAGATTTTTTTTCTAATCTTAGAGGTTATTTTAATATTTTCACATTTAAAATATACATATTAATGAAAAATTATACTAAGATTTCATGTATATATCAACTACATTTTTAAACCTTATATATCTATTTTTATTTTCATCTCTATATTTATTTTTATTTTTATTAGAATTATTTTTCTTGTAGCGAACGAGGCATGAGAGCTAGAATTTCCTCCACAACATGCAGACACTGCCAATCACAACCTTCACAGAATTGAAAGTCAGAAATTTATACTGGGATTCGTAGTCAGTTTCTAGACCTACCTGTGTGCAATCAAATCTGGCTGCCCCTTGATGAGCCCCTTTTCTCAGCCGAAACGAAAATTTTTCGGCTAACTTGTCACTATCCATAAGCCCATTTGGTTTTGGCTGACTTATCACTATTCATAAGCCCAATTTGCAAGTCGAGGCTTCTTGCACGGCCTTTAATGCTTGACCCCCGTCCTTTCCCGGGTCCCGCAATTAATTTCGCCTGTTGCCTCATCAATGCTGACTCTTGTTTTTGATCTAACCATAGCAGTGGATCACGTGGGGAGCCAGAAATGTGTTCCCATATTGTATAGAGCTCAGCTCAATTTTTGCCCCTCACAACTAAATGTTAATCGTATATCTCTAAATTTTTTATTTCACGTGGGGTGTTCCCTTCGCACCCCCAAAATTCACATCATTAGAAAAATAAGTGAGACAAATATTTGCTGGTCGCAGTGAAATGTTATTACTAGTCAAGGGCCATTTTGTCTTCTTCCTTTTTTACCCGGTCTTTCACCTTGGTTTCGCTAGAACTAGAGCTGCGCTGGATAAGGCTGGGTCTGATCACTTCTAGTATTTTGCAGTTAATAGTCCAGTTTCTTCTCAGTCGCAATCAGATGAGGCTAAGCTAAGAAGCCCAGAGAGAGAGAGAGAATGTGTTCGTTGGAGAAGAGAGGCAACATCTTCATCTTAACACTCACCGGCACCGACGAGCACTGGCTCAACCCCACGCTTCTCAATGCCATTCGCTCCGCTCTCCGCCGTGTCCGATGTGAAGCATCCTCCTCCTCCGCTCTCATTACCACCGCCCACGGAAAATTCTTCTCCAACGGCTTCGATATCGCCTGGGCCCAAGCTCAGTCCTTCGAAGAACGCATGGTCTTCATGACCTCCTTGCTTCGATCGGTTGTCACGGATCTAATTTCCCTCCCTATGCCTACAATCTCCGCCGTGACCGGACACGCCTCCGCCGCAGGCTGTATCCTCGCCTTGAGCCACGATTACGTCCTGATGAGGAGCGATAGGGGGTTTCTCTACATGAGTGAGCTCGATATCAAGCTCGTCCTTGTGCCGTGGGTCATCGCCCTTCTCAAGGCCAAGACCGGGTCACCGGCGTCTCGCCGTGAACTGGTTATGAAAGCGACCAAGGTCACAGCTAAGCACGCGGTGGAGCTCGGTATCATCGATTCGGCTCACGATAACGCTGAGGAGACAATGACGGCTGCGGTTGAACTGGCCGAGGGCTTGGTTAGAAGGGGATGGAATGGACAAGTGTACGCTGAGAATCGAATGGCAATGCTGGCTGATGTGTTGGTCTCCATTGGAGCTACCCGCACTCGTTCGCGGCTTTGAGGGACACAAGGTAAAAACCTTTTGGTGTTGTATCTGAGGTTTGGTATCAACGGTGAAAAATGGAAAACGAACTAGGTCAGTGCTCCTAATACTTCTGAACTGGTGTCTGGAGCTATCGTAGATGGTGTTAAAAAAAAAAACTGATAGTGTCTTTTATATAATAATTAATAATAAAATATTTCTATTTATAACATACTTGTAATAAATTTTATTAAAATAAAAAAATTAAATTTTAAAATTATTTTTAATAATTTTGTTAATATTTAATAAGAATAAAAACAGAAAGATAAATATAAAAAATAATAAAATATTTTATAAATTTGATTAAATTTAATCTCCTCCTCCCCCCTATCAATAAAATTTAAAAATATTTACATAATATATATATATATATATATATTTAATAATAAAGGAAAGAATAAAAGCAAAACAAGAGAATAAAAACCTAAGGCGGTCTCAAATGGTTCAGGAAATTAGGCCTTATTTGGTATAAAGGAATAAAAAAGTGGGATTAATATTGGTATTAATTAATCTCAAGTTTAGGGAATAAGAATTTTAATCACAAGCCCAAACCCATCTAAGTGAGATTATCCAAAATTACCCACCCCTTAGTAATGAAAAATTAATTTTAGGATTGATTATTTTTTAACAAAAATACCCTCGATCTCTCTCATCTTTGTCGTCTCTCCCTCTACCTTCCGCTCCTCACCTCTCACATCTCTGCCTCTACCATCCGTCAGCCTCCTCCATCGTGCTTCCCACAGCCACACACAAGCACAACGAGGACGCTAGAATTAGGAAGATGAAGAATAAAGCCAACAGTGGAACTAGCAGATCTAAAGATATGGAGTCACGTGCCTGAATCATTTACCTAAATTTGGACTGCTTGTTGGCCGCCGTCGATGACGCAGAGACTGAAGTGAAGGACAGTTATGGTGGCACCGAGCACAAGTGTGGGTCTGAGAGAAAGAGATTGTGGGCGTAAGGAATGAAGTTAGGAAGAAGGAAGATGAGGAAGACGTAAGTTGAAGCCAAGAAAGAGGAAGATAAGGATAGTTGGGTCTTTTACCTAATTTTTGTTGCCTATTATTTTTTTTTAATCCCACATACCAAACATGAATTTAAATCCTTATTTTTAGATCCAATTCCATTACGAATCGTATTTTCAATTTCACAAAATTCAATACTTTATACCAAACAGGGCTCTAAGATCCTCTACGCTACAACGAGAGGATAAAATCCAAAAGGGCTTCGGATGATGGTCGTCCCGCAGCAAATATCTCCCCGTAAGTAGAGTCAAGAATAAGGGTCAGGCTTGACGGGGTGCTCGTTTAAGCCCGTTTTAATAAGGGTTTGGGCTTGAAAATTTGGTATTTTTTGAGGTAACTGGGCTTCAAAATCCGATCTTTTTAAGCCTTAGAAAAAGGGGCTCGAGTCCGGGCAGCCCGTGAAACCCGTTTTACTATTTACAAAGTATTGTTTTCTCCCATTTTCAAATAATGTGCAAACATTGATTTGTACCTGCAATTGGTTGAATTGTTTTGTGCCATTTTATGGTAATTTTTATATTTTATCTTGTAATATATGTATAGATATATATTTAATAATAAAACAATTTAATTAATAATTATTGTAGGTGATGATGATGAAGTTGCAGAAATAATTGATATTGAGCCTCCACCTCTATCTTTCACAAGTGGACCTACATCTGAGGGTTTTAATATTTTATTTATGGATGATAATGAGGGAGATCTTGATTAGATTGATGATATTTTGCCTCCATCTTATTTAAACTTTTAAATTTTTTATTTATTTTTTAAATTATGTAAGATTTTAGTTTAATATATGTTAAATTTTAAAATATTCTAAATAAATTTTAATGTTGAATTCTATTTTATTCTTATCCGGGCTTACAGGCTGGCCTTAAGCCCTTTGAATGAGGGCCGAGCTTCAATTTTAGGTTAAAATTGAGGTAATCGGGCTTTAGGGTCTAGGCCCATAAAGGTCGAGCTCATATGAGTTAGACCTGTCCATTTATCAACTCTATCCGTAAGCATAAACGTGGGTGCTGCCTCTGTTCATAAGCTGCACCACTCCCATACAATCTATTGTAGATTTATCCGAAGCTAATTTTAAAGCTATAAAATACAATCCCAGATTCTACCTGCTAGAGCACATCCCTCGTTTAGACGAAGCATGAAAGCACCTCAACATCGTTCCACGTGAATTCTTGAAAAGCCCTGCACAGCTCGTGGCCCGAGCACCATCCACAAAAACTTTCTCCATAAGCATTAACCGCTTTGGGTCTCTCGCTATTATTCATTGGCTCGGGCCTCGGGTGCGTTGCATGCATCTGAAAATGGCTATAGCCTGAGTACTGAGTTCCGTTTTATATATATATTGCTAATGCTAACCAGCATCGATTCTTCCGTGCAATGTGTGGAAAACGTTACCCTTAAAAAAATTACATCACATAGATATTTGTAAAATTTTTTATTTTTTCACCCAAAAAAAAACTCCCGCACAAATGGTTGCAAAAATATTCATTTCATTAGCTTTGTTTGTATGAAATCAAATGATAGATAAAGAAATAAAAGATAAAATAACAAAATCTGTCAATAAATTAGTGATTTGAAATTATATCCACTGATCATATTAAAATAAAAAAATACTGCACTCAATGAAATTATTTCAAGATTGAGCTGGGCTCTACTTTATAGTTGTCATGAGCATTCGCTTTATGTTAAGGGTATTTATGGGCTTGGCTTGGTTATGATTAAAAATCAAACCAAATTGAAACAATCAGCAATTAATTTACTCATGATTGGGACTTGATTGGTTTTTATGAAAGTCAGCTTGGTTCAGTTTCATTTTTAGTTTGATGAAGGTCTGAGTTGGGCTCTACTTTATAGTTGTCAATATTAGGTTGGGCTCTACTTTGCAATTGCCATGAGCATTAACGTTATGAAGCATTAGTATTTTAAATTGTTTTACGTATTTGTATTAATATTGACTGATATGTATCCATAGATCATCGAAATATTATTATTTAATTTTAAAAAATTGTAATTTTTAATACGTGTTCAATACTTTTAGATTACAAGTTGATACTTTAAAATAGATGTTTCAAAGCTATTTTAAAAAATTAAATTTTATTAAATATTACAATATTAATATTTTTTATTTCTAATATATTTATGTGATTTTCTTTGAAAGTAAAAATTAAGCTTTCCTTAAAAAATAAGTTTTAGATATAATAAAAGAATAAAAATTATAATTTTTTAATTATAAAAACTTGGGAATATAATCTTTTGACACATAAATCCTAAATAGGAAATTATTAGCAGAGAATAGATAGTATGCAAAAGGTAGAGATGGAATAAAAGTACAATTTAATTATATTTTGCTTAATATTACTACAAAAGACTATATGTGTATGCTAATATGTACATCTTCTATTTCTAAATTGAAATCATATTTTTATGATTTTTTATAAATATATCAAAAACATATCACCCATATCCTAGATTTTTTAAAATAAAAGTATCGATGTATTGTATCCGATATGCAGATCAGTATCTATGTATCATAGATCTCACTCTTACTTATCTTTGTCTAATTAGTACCCTCTTCCTTAAAAATTATAAGATATTTTTAATTCAATTTTATTTTTAATAAATTAATTAACTATCTTTAAGCTAATATTATCTTTTTATATTTAACTTTATTTAATAAGGTATTTTGTTAAAAATAAATAGAAAATAAATTATTTATTAAAGGTACTTTAAAAAATTACATTAATTGTATTTTTAAATATTAAAAATATCTCACATTTTTTTAACATTTAATCTCTGAGAAATACCTTATATTGGTTACCAAAAGAAGTACTCCTTTATCTTAATTATTCTTTCCATTTTTCTGGCCTAATCTCTTAATTATTCTTTCGATCTTAGTTATAAGATAAAGTTTTAAAACACTGTAGATATTTTTTCCCCTAACCTTACCTTTCCTTAATTGTAACAAGGTATTAGCATGTTTTTAATTTTTATGCATAACTTTATAATAGTCATTAATTTATGCCCTTCTAGCAATTAATTAATTCATATATGATTGTGATCCAAGAGATAATTTCATCATTCACATCTATCAACTTTTCAAAATTGTGAAGACTTAATTTTATGTATTATAAAATACAAAATGTGCCTTGAACAAGGCTAAAATTCAATTAAGAGATACTGTGTAATAACTTTGCACGCCAAACTGCATTAAAGCAAGTTTAGTTGGTGATGAATTTCAACCTAATTCAAAGTCTGATTTTTTTTTTTTTAAATGATTGAGTTAAGTAATACATGGTCTGATCTGATCCTAGTATAATTTAAAATTGAATAGGATCGGATTGGTTTAGTATAATTAGGAGACTAGTCCCCATTGTGTCCAATAATTCACTTTTTTTTCCTTTTTCATCTGTTAGAGGTAGTAATTTATTTCAATATAATAAACTCAATTAATATAATAAAATTACTTATAGTTATATAAAATTCATCACAACAACAATTATCAATCTACATCAATCTCTAACAAAAAGAAAAAGTATTTCAATTACAACACAAATGATTCAAATTAAATAACATTCAATAATATTAAACAATATTCAACTTGTCTAAAGTCTATTACACTAAGTTAATAAGAAATTTTACCAATAAAAGAAGAAGATTAGGATTAGTCAATTTTGAAATTTTGCCCAATATTCATAACTTCACAAATATAGAACACAAAAAATTACTAATGATTATTATAAATGAACTTATTGCAATAATAATTAATAAATTAATTATAATTATATTAAATAAATTTATAATACCGAATCAGACCAAGTAGTTTAGATGCTCGGTCTCTTGTTCAATCTAACCCATAGAAAAAATGTGGTCCTTTTGGTCTTGAAAGACCAAATTTTATTTGAATTGGATAGGATTGAATTTGTCTAGGGTTGATCAGACTGAACTGGATTGGATGACTTTTGCACAACGCTATTGGTGACAATAGATTCATCACTTCAAAATTACCAGTTAAGAAATCTTATAAGACAAAAATTTCTCTTAAAATTACACGATTCGTCTACATTTTCTCATCAAGGTAGTTATGCAAAGAAATTGAGCAAGTTGGAATAGGAAATGTTATGGCCTATTTAAAATTATTTTTATTTTATTATTTTAAGAACTAATATTTTGAAAAATATGTTTTGAAAATAAAAAACAATGAAAATAAATATTTTTTTTCATTTTCTTTTATTTTTAAATAATAATCCTAAAATACTTAAAAGATGTTTTCATTTTTTTTATTCCCCAAAATAATATTTTATTTTTTATTCTCTAAAATACTTTTTGAAAATACATTATCAAATAATTATAAAAAACTATTTTCAGAATAAGTTATCAAACAGCTCTTAATTATGCTATACAGAATTATCAAATCAAACTTTACATTGATTAAGCTCAATGTATACTACCACTGTAGTTGCTTTGAAAAGGAAACCGAGAGAATGAAACGGGAAATATTAATCATATATGCATAACATTATTATCAATAAGATTGCCTAATGAAACTCAGTTACGCAACTATACAAAAATTATTTATTGTAATCTCTCATAAAAGTCTAAAATCTTAGCTTGATAAACCAAGAATATCCATTATGCTTCAAGACAATTTTAACTTTATAGAAAGGACTACCATATAGAATGTACTCAATGTCATCATGCTGTGTGCGAGAAACATTGAAACACTATAATTTTCTACCAACCTAATAAAAAAAAAATGTGTCTCATTACAATACAATATTAACAATTTCACGCTGATAGGATTTGTCCACTGCTAATATAATATTCTCACATATGATCTTAATAATAATAGCGTTGCAATACTACAGTTGTTCGAAACAATTTCTCCATAATCTATATAAAATAAATTGTGCACCACAAACAACTCCCAAGATTTATTTTCATCTAGAATTCTATATGTGAATAAAAAATGTAATTTGTCAATACCCCAATGACTAAATTAAGGAATAAGAAAACTATACGGGATATCGTCACAAATACATACGGGGTTGGAAAAATTAAATTTATAAATTGCCTTTTCAAATCCATTTTTATATGAATACACCAAATTCTACATTCACTGCAACTCTCAATGGTTTAAAATATTACCTCTATAAATCGCCTTTTCAATAAACGATATGGTCCAAAACTTAATTTTCAGAGGTCCACATGAAAAGGTCTAACACTCCATTAAATTTGATAACAGAAGGACCCAAAATAGCTTATTGCATTACCAACCACACATATAAATTCCAACTGAATTTTGCTTATGACTTGATAGAACATAGATGCCATATATGTTCAATAATTCATCAACAAAACTACACAAATAGCTAAAGAGAGGGGCTCATCTCACAAGCCACCAACATTACGCAGATTATGCACAAAAATATTCAAGAGTTGTTGGAAATATGGTATAATTTTATGCCATGCAGTCTTCAACCAATCAATAATGAATATTAATGGGCTACAAAAACCAATTCTAAGAAAAATACATTAAAATTGGAACAAAACGGGGGATGGCATTAAGAATCATACAAAATGGCAAGAAAATCCATTCACGTGCCTACATACCCATAAGTCACAAGTGGGCATGGAGTCACGTTGGCCATGTACACCATCGTACATAAATCTACCGTTGACGGTTTCAAAAAGCTTGTGAAACTTGATCTCAGAGCCATATAACACCAAAAATATATATATATATATATATATATTTCTCACATTCCCTGTGTAATCGTAGACTCATGAGCAATATTTATACCTAATAGGTAACCCATAGATCTTTGATTGATCACTCGAAGAAAATAAAAGGAATAGATTCTTCGGCCTATATTATTCCTGGGTCTTTTTCTTGTGAATATGGAAGAACAGGGGAAGAGGCAGAGCGCCCTCAGTAGAGATTTTGTACTCCTTGAGTTCAACCTCAGTTTTCATATCTATCTATCTATATAAACAAACATGACACTATAATAATATTAATATAAATTGATATAATTATCTCCCAGCATCTACATATTATAGGAATATTGTGATATGGAACTGTTGACCAGGTTGGAGGCGTGGAGCAATGGGTATGAGTGTGAACCAAGTCATCACAAAACACACACAAAAACAAAATCTGATTGCTTGATATTAAAAAAAGACTAATTGTTTAAAATATGATTATATATTCCCAGTAATTAATTAATGCTAATCCACCCATCTAAAATTTAATGTAATATGAATCATGAAGTCTTCTCACCAGTAGCCTGTTCCAACACGCCAGTTAAAAAAAAATCATCAATTCTAAGCTGTCCTTGTGAGGTATCGTAATGCGCGGGGAATCATCACCCTTAAAAGCCCAAACCAACATGACGAATATTGATCCCCACTTCTTTCTTCTGTTTCGCAATCAACACAGGATAAGCTAAGCTACAGAATGTGCTCGTTGGAGAAGAGAGGCAACATCTTCATCTTAACACTTACCGGCACCGATGAGCACCGGCTCAACCCCACGCTTCTCAATGCCATTCGATCCGCTCTCCGTCGTGTCCGATCTGAAGCATCCTCCTCCTCTGCTCTCATCACCACCGCCCACGGAAAATTCTTCTCCAACGGCTTCGATCTCGCCTGGGCCCAAGCTCAGACCTTCGAAGAACGCATGGTCTTCATGACCTCCTTGCTTCGATCGGTTGTCACTGATCTAATTTCCCTCCCTATGCCTACAATCTCCGCCGTGACCGGACACGCCTCCGCCGCAGGCTGTATCCTCGCCTTGAGCCACGATTACGTCCTGATGAGGAGCGATAGGGGGTTTCTCTACTTGAGCGAGCTCGACATCAAGATCGTCTTTCCGCCTTGGTGCATCGCCCTTCTCAAGGCCAAGATCGGGTCACCAGCGGCTCGCCGTGAACTGGTCATGAAAGCGGCCAAGGTCACGGCTAAGCAGGCGGTGGAGCTGCGTATCATCGATTCGGCTCACGATAACCCCGAGGAGACGGTGAAGGCTGCCGTTGAACTGGGCCAGGGCTTGGTTAAGAGGGGATGGGAAGGGCACGTGTACGCTCAGAATCGAATGGCAATGCTTGCTGATGTACTGGACTCCACTGGAGCCACCCGCACTGGATCGCGGCTCTAAGAGACACGAGGACAATCTTGCCTTTCGCAAACTAGCATAGGCTCTCCCGCGCGATGCTCGGGGAGCATAAACTTCAAAAAATTATATTGTATAAATGTTTATAAAGTTATTCATTTTATGTCAACAATACTAATTTGGTCAAAAAAAAAAATTGTCAACAAAACTAACAACTACATGTTCATATTGTTCCTGCCACGTAGGATAATAAATGAAATAATATATGTCAAACATTAATTATTTTCAAATTATTAAAAAACAGCATGTTATTGTGCACATATGTTATTGTTTTCAAATATTTAATTGAATGTATTGGTTGCACTTCCTAACAACAAACTTGAGTATATTTGTCTTGCACTTTGTTCCAAACTTCTTTTATAATAATTAAAATCAATTTGTACTCCTTGCTCATTGAATAGGAAGCCCGAACTTTACAATTGTTACAACTCAGCAATAATTTCATAATAATCACTTGAATTAATTAGAATATAAAATTATTGCATTAGATTTTCTCCTGTGCTTGTAAAAATGATATAGCAAAATAATAGTCTTGTGATAGATTAGATAAGCAATTGAAGTACACAAAATTATTTTTAATGATGGTGATGTAAATGTGACTCAAAAAATGTTTGTACATGTGAAAATAAACGAACAATCAACGATTAACAATGTTTGCTCATTTCTTGCTTGAAAATTTAATCAAATTTGAAATCAAGTTCTTAATTGTAACTTTTTAATAAAATAAATTTTCAATCCCATCCTTCTGCAGAAAAAAAAAAAAAAGAAAAGAAAAGACATATCAATCTTAAATAATTAAATAGACAAAACAATAAACAAATGAAATAACAAAATCTATAAATAAGTTTTTTTCTATTAATTGCTGTGAATAAGTTCTTTCTTACGAGTGATTTGAAGTTTTATGTTACAGGGCTAGTCTTTCGACCCATACGACATTTAGACACTCTTTAATTAAAGATATTAAGTAAGCTTAATTTGTTTGAGAAGGAACATGCTTAGTTAAGTTGAGAAAATGAAAGCTTGAGAGTAAAAGATAGTTGAGAGAGTTTGAAAAACGTGAGAGTAGTATCGCTTGAGAACTCAAATGGTTTACAAATGAGGAGGGGTGAGGTATTTATAGACCTTACCTTGATTCTAAAAATTTTCACCTCCTCAATAGACAATGCAGATTAAACCGATTCTACGGTTATCGTTGATCTTCTATATTTCTCTCCTAAATATTTACAATAAATATCTAGATATTTACATGAAAGTATTTAGAGACTATCTTAAGATATATCTGGAACATTCTAGAACATTTTGGAGTACCTTAAAATATTCTATATATCTCCACATCCTTCTATAAGCTTCTGGAACCTTGTAGATCCTTCTCAATTGGTCTAGATTTTTTTAAATTGTTCTGGATGCTTCTAGAACATTCTGTTCTAGATTTCTCTTGAACGCCCTGAAAATATTCTCTTAAAGTTAATTGGGAGCCTTTTAGAGGGTTTTGAAGCACTCCGGGCCATTTTAACCTCACAAAAAGCCACAAACTATGACATTTTCCCCACTTAATTTCATGATGCCCTCATCACGCCTTCCTCCTTATAGTGTTGGATTTGGTCAGTGAACTACAACAGGAAGTCTTCACATTCCTAATTGGCTTCAAAGTTTGGTTGACCTTTTCACTTAATTAAGTACTCGGTGTAGTTGAGAACTTCTCTCTTTTTGATCACCCTGTCAGCGAGGATCTCCTATATATCCTTGTCATACTCAGTGATGATTGCTGTTGGTGCTTTTTTAGAGATACCTTAAGGTGGACCTTCTTCATCTCCGCAATATTTCTTCAAAAGACTAACGTAAATGATAAGATAAATCTCGAGCTTGGGAGGGAGTTGCCCTTGATACGCAGCCTTTCCCGCACGTTTGACGATGAGAAAAGGGCCTTTATATCTCCTAACCAAGCTTTTGTAGACTTTGTGTAGTAACAAGAATTGATTTGACAATAATTTCACCATTACCAAATCACCAACTTGAAACTGGATGGGATGTTGCTTCTTGTTCGCCTACTTCTTCATCTTTCAAGAGCTTTATCCAAGCTTGCTTTGGTGATGTCTGATTTTTCTTTTCATTTTTTAGCAAATTTATTTGTAGTTGGATTTTCTCTCTTATATGGTGCAGTTAGCGTGCTCAAGGTTAGAACTACATTTTTTTATTGTTTCTACTATACTGTAATAGTTGATTGCCCTTTTATAGTGTTTACCTCCCACGGTTTGTTTATTATTGTGGGTCGAAGTGTAATTTTTCTTTTTTTATAAAAATGACTATTTAACACTTGTCCATGCGTCCCGTTTTAATGATAAAATACAATTCATCATAGTCATAAGTCTTTTTTTTGATCTTTAAAAGTATGATGTAATTGTGTTTTAAACTCCTGTACATATTTCTTATATGGTTTTATCTAATGAAATTTCTTTCCACCAAAAAAAAAAATAAAATGCAATTTATCACTGTGCTTTGTACAATATAATTCTTGTACATATTTATTAAAGCAAAAATAATGATAAAATTCATTTGAACTATATAAATGACAATTTGATCTTTCAAAATATTATATCAATGAAGTCCTTAGAAATCTCTTTGTTAATAACTTTTTAGAAAAAAATATTATTTTACTCTTATTGAAAATAACAAAACCTAATCATAACTTTTGTCTAAGAAATCACAACTTTTATTCTGTAAATCGTAAAAGTTAAATAAAAATTACAACTTGTTAAGTGTAACTTTTGTTATTGAAAAACAAACTCCAATCATAACTTTTATTTAAAGGATAACAATTTTTATTCTATGAATCACAAAAATTGAATAAAAAATCACAATTTGTCAATTATAATATTTATTATTGAAAAATAAATTCTCAAAATAAAAAACTTCATTCAAAGTTTTTGTTTAAAGAATCATAATTTTTTTTCAAAGAATCACAAAAATTGAACAAAAAATCACAATTGTCATTAAAGGTAAAATGGTCCTTTTTCTAAAAAAATTATTGACAAAGAGGTTTCTAAGGACTTCATTGATATTATGATATTTTGAGAGATTAAATTATCATTTATAGAATTTAAAAAATTTTATTATTATTTTTTTATTAAATTCAAATGGTTTGTTTGTTGTTGGTGCCATAATTTTCCAATTTTTAGTGCGCCTCTTCCATTTTCATATTTCTTATTCTTTTAAGTACATTTATATAATTTTCTGGCTTCCTATATTTGTTTCTAGATTTTTCAACAGCCAGGCTCTCTTTATTTGGTACAGAAATAGCAAATTATTATTTTTCTTAATTGCTCATACTAATTTCAAAAACAATTATATTTGAGATGCAATTAGACACTAAATATTGACACTTTTATTAATGAAAATTCAAATTTTAATTTGCCATGCTGCAAGAAATTAACATCTTCTACTAGATCTAACTCGCGTCGGTGTAAAAATAATAAGTTGTTATAAAATAATTTATCATAAGTTTTTTAGATGAACAATAAATCTTATTGATGCCCCCCCTTTTTTTTTAACAAAACGCATGTTTTTCAAATTAATTTTTATATTCATAATCTTTTTTCACTTTGTTAAAAATATTAAAACATACCTGATCATGACTATCAATATTTAATGCAATTTTTATATTATATCTTTATAATATTATGTTAAGATATTTTTTATTTATGATATCATATTAACAAATTAACATATTTATATCGTATTTTTATGATATCATGGTAACATATTTTTCATTTATGTAGTTTCCAAATTACCTTTTAATTTTTCCATGATTAATAATTTTATAAATAAAATAAGATATTTATATTTTTAGTATGAACAAAAGTAATAAATTGTAAAAGTAACAAGTTATTACAAATACTTTATTGTACATTTAACCGCATGAGTCATAAATCTTGCAAGTAGCTTTTTTTTTTTTTTTTAAGAATGCAAAAAATTTTTTGAAAGGCCATTTCTAATTACTCATGTTGGCACAGTAAATAATAGTTTAATCTCACTTTTTCCTTCATATTTTACGAGTTTGATTGGTTTATTTTTAATTAGTTTCATAGAAATTGTTAAACATTATACAATTATTAATAGCTAAAATGCATAAAATTCTCTTAAATTTTGAATGTAGTTGCATATAACCCCCAACTTTAAAAGTTTAAAATTAACCCTCGAACATTTAATACTATTTTTCAAAACCCCCTACTCTTTATTATATTATTTTTATAAAGATTAAAATTTCATTCAACTAAAAAATTATTATTAAACAAAATATTATATCATAAAATTATGGTTAATCAATTTCTCATATTTTTGCATAGTTGAGTCATTGATAGCCAACAAAGTTATTGTCATTGTATAAAATTTTAAATATTTATTTTTATATTAGTTTTATTTTTTTTTGGTTATCAATGGTGCATAATTTTCTCTTATTAAAGGATAAATTAATTTAACACGATAATATTTAAAATTTTAAATATTTTAATCATGTGCATTACATTAATCTAACATAGAAATATAAATAAAAATTGATCCTTTAAAATAATAAAACTATGCACCATTGATAACGAAAAGATGGATAAAACTAATAAAACATAAATATTTTAAATTTTATACATTGATAATAACATTTTTTAGCTATTAATGAATCAACTATTTAAAAGTATATAAGAAACTGATTATAAATAGTTCTACAATATAATATTTTTGTTTAATAATATTCTTTAATTAAATGATATTTTAATCCTTATGAAAAAAGTAATATAATTAACAGTAAGGGTTTTGAAAAACAAAATTAAAAATTAAGAGGGTTAATTTTAATTTTCAAATATGAGAAGGGTCATAGGCAACTGCTTCAAAGTTTAAAAAATTTTATGTATTTTAACTATTATTAATTGTGTATTAAATAACTGATCCCCTTTATAAATCATTTCAAAGGCACGGTGTCCATGTTGGATTTAGATAATACACAAGGCAATAATGGAGCAATGGGACATGGGAATGTATGTTTAGTGTAGTCATGTTTTTTTTTTCCCTAGATTCACAACATCGTTTAATATTACCATGTAGTAATCAAGAGTTTTCCTCTTC